TAAATAAACTGATCCTCTACCATACAGCCTCCAAAAACAATTTAAATGCAGCCATGACCACTCTGACTTAGGAGTGATTCCAATATTCAATGAGATACCTTTTATTAGTGTGGGGTGGAGGTGGGTCCTGAACGTAATTGCATAGTACAGCTAGAGAACAAGGTGATGAAGCTATGCCTGTTTTTGTATATCGCATGGTCCATTAAAGTGTAAGTTCACCTTTATAACATTTTCTGCTTATTCCACCAAGCAGTAAGGAAAGGAAAGTTGGAGGAACTATCCCTCATTTAGAAGACAATCTCTCTGTCCCTGTTTACCAAACACAATCCATTTGTCTCACTTTATTCTTTAAAATGTCTCCCTTTTAGCTCTAGGGTAGGGATTTTAAAGGCATAGTTCAGCTTTTGAAAATGACCCCACAATACAGTGGGTGGAGAATGTGACTGTTTCATGCTGCATCCTTAATATGGGTATAACATGAAACATTGTCAGAAAGGGAAAATAAATAACTTGAACTACAAAAATTATATTTATTGCACTAAACAATCTTCTATGAGGTTATTTTTTATATCCTAATGCTGGAAACATCAGAGGTAAAAAGTCCCTCTGGGTTTAGTGACCATTCTTGCTCTTTGTTTTGCTATGGTCTATGAGGGCGTATCCATTGCTGAACTATTGTGTTTAAAAGGTGTCCCTTTTTTCCCACCTCAGAGTTTATGAAAGGAAGTATGAATAAGGGTGTGCTGGGTGCTTGTTTCTGACTCTTGCTGAACACCATACAAAGGCCAAAGAGCATTTAAAACTTATTTTATTTATTTATTTCATGTACTTATATAGCGCCGTCAATTTACGCAGCGTTTTACATACATATATTGTACATTCACATCAGTCCCTAACCCTCAAGGGGCGTACAATCTAAAGTCCCTAACTCACATTCATACATATACATACTAGGGACAATTTAGACAGGAGCCAATTAACCTACCAGCATGTCTTTGAAGTGTGGAAGGAAACCGGAGTACCCGGAGGAAACCCACGCAGTCACAGGGAGAACATGCAAACTCCAGGCAGGTGGTGCCATGGCTGGGATTTGAACCAACGACCCTAGTACTGCCAGGCGGAACTGCTAACCGTTTAGCCACTGTGCTGCCCAATAAAATAAAACTTGGACGTTCATTGGGTGTGCAGAAGAATCTGGACTAGGGACACATTGTACTAACTGTAAGTTATATCCTTTATGCTGATTCTTATGTTTTTACTTTTAGCTAAAATATGTATTTCTTTTTCATGAAAGTTCCTATGTATTAGTAGGACCTGCCACCTTTGACCAAATTGCCTATCTGTGGATCCTCTGGGTGTGCAGAAGAATTCGGACTAGGGACACACCATACCTAACTGTAAGTTATGTCCTATATGCTGATTCTTCTGTTTTTAGTTCTGGCTAAACTCAGACTTTAACATGTATTTCTTTTCCATGAATGAATGAATAAGGTCTGCCACTTTTGGCCAAATTGTCCATCTGTGGGTTCTCTATAAGTATAGTTGACACTACAGTCAGCCTACAACAGGGGAAAGACAATTTCAGAAGGAGGTCAGCAATGGTAGGCTCCATATTTCTCCAGTAGAAGTTTCTTTTAGGGCTGGTTTACACCAGAATTGCACAGGAACATGGTCCACATTTCTGTGTGATTCCTGTGTGTTTTCCATGCAGTGCAATTTTCCAGCCCATTCCTATAAATAACAGAGAGTAAAGCAGAGTGGAAAGCAAAGGTGAGAAAGATGCAAAACACAAAATAAATCAAGTAATTGGGTGTCATAATAAGAAAAGTAGTAGCCTTCAAAAGCCTTTCCATACATTATATGCTGGTTAAGCTGACTTTTTTAGTGTTAGGATGGTGGAGCCAGGCATCCCATTTAAAATGGAATGTGTTTAGGCCATTCTGCCTATAAGTGTTCATCCTTCCATACATACATTATGAATTGACTCTGAACAGCCTCCAATATTTTAGAAACCATCTAGGGATCTCCAGCGGATAGTTAGAGTTAATCTGGCATCAAAAAGAAAGTGTACTACTATTGTTCAGTAAACAAGTGGGCACACTTCAATCCCCATGTTTAATAACTCTAAATGAGGAGTGGGAGTATTAAGTATTGCTGTAACCTCTCCAATCATAAAGAACAATGCAGAACAAAATCTTTTAATAATTTTGCATGTCCAAAATATATGAACAATATTGCCTTCTATTGTGCAGAGTTTTCTCCAACACTGTGATTAATACAAAATTTGTAGAATAGGAAAGGGAGTTAAATACCACTGCAACATAGTAAAGAAAATGTATACGAGCGCACCTACAAATGCAAAGTAGCAGCTGTGCACCAGGTAACCATAAACCCCATGAAACAACATAAAATCAGAAGATGCAGCGCTACAAAAGAGGAACACTATAAATAAATGAATAAATAGATATATAAATGAATGAATAAATAAATAAAAAACAGTTCATGTGATGATATCAAGGTGACTTCAAGTGCTCTCATCTATTCATATCCTCCTGATAATAATAGGTGCTGTGCGGTATAGTGCTGAAGAAATGCACACTCACCAGAACGCACAGTTAAATGGGGCGTTTGTAAATATAAATTTCCCTTGGGTTCATCGGCTGGTCAAGGTAGGGTCTGCAATGTGATAGCCTCCCTCCAGTGCTCCTGGATATTACTGTTGGGGCATCAGGGTAATCCCTTGGATGGTGGCCTGTGGACTGCTCCTTAGTGCTTGTAAACGTTCCTTCCCCAGCAGTGAGATGAATAGCTCTTCCACCAACTGTACACCATAATCCCTTTTCAGTGGCTGGATGGTCACTCCTCTAGCATTGACCAGCTGAGTTAAGTCAATTGGTAGTGAGGGATCGACCCTTCCAAGGTCAATGAGGTACTGGAGCTTCTTTAGGCTTAGCGGCTGATACTGTCGTCGATTGCTGTGTCCCTCGTTGAATCCATACTTTGGGATAATCAAGTAGAAAGGAGTCTGCCCGCCTTCAAACCCTAGACGAGGTTTAGTTCCTCTCTGTGTCTCTCCTTTGTGGCCTCTACCACTTTTTCCACCACCATGTCTGCAACGACCTCGTTGTTTTTCCCATTATCTGTATTCATTACTTGAAAGAGAAACGATTATCAGGTTTTGGTCGTTCCTGGACTGATATACAAAGCAGCATCGGAGCTGCTAACTGTCCCTTGTTTGGTGCCTCTTCCCTCTGTCCTTCCTCAGTTGTCCCTCTTTCCTGTGAGATTTCCCAGTGATTTGTACATCTAGATGAAGACTAAAGCTGGCCATACATTGTTACCTTTTCTTGCTCAGCTGGGGGGGAAGCTGAACAAAAAAACAAAAACTAACAGGTTCCTCCATCCACACAAATAAGGCAGAATCCCCCATCTCCGCGGGACATTGAATTCTGACAGTGGCACCACCATTGTCAGAATACACTGATCAGCTGCTGCTGATCATCGACTGCTGTTCGGGAAACATTTTCAACTCCCTTTACTGTGTTGGGTTCTGCATTAATAAAAAGTTCAGACTGGCATTACCACACCTGAACTGCTTGAAGTGCTTCATCATACCATAAAACCCGCACTGATGCCATTGAGGAAGAGAAAAACATTCATTACACTTGTGAATAGGGTGCAACATGGTGTGTTGGCAAGCAGGGATCACACAGAGAAAGATAAACGAAAACAGTGTATTACAGAAAGTTCCAACACGGCACAACTACGCCCGGTGGGTAGGTACAGCCATCCAAAGCCACCGTAGCAGCGGCGTTTTAACTTTGGACAATGCTGACAACTTCTGCAATAAGGAGCGGGAATGCGGCCTGGCTGGTCCACACCCAAATAGGAGGCTTTCTAAACAGAGCATAAGCATAGTCCCTGTACTGTTCCTACTCCACTGGAACCTCTCCCTAACTCTGAATATTCTCCCTGATAGACAGAGAATCTGTCCATACACTAGCCACTTACAAAATGCATGCTAAACCAGGGATGCAGTGTCTTAAATAAGCACTGCCCTCACCAAAGATGGCCATGGGGGTCAATCAGAGCTCCAGGGTCCAATCAGATGGGTTTTCCCTTGATGACAGCAGGAAGTCATAGAGGAATTAAACTCCTCACACCTGCCTTCCCCTTCTGCATTGCCACTAAAGCCTAGCACCACCTACAGAAAGGAGTATAGACTGAATCTGCCTATACCTACACACTAACTTTTGCTATTGAAATATTTTGGAATTTTTTCTGGCTTGTCCATTCCCTCTTTTTTTACCTCTGCCAATATCCTGTGCCAGATCATTCACTGCAACAAAAATTATATGTGCATTTAATATATTTCATGCACGTTATTTACCTGTAGAAGCCTCCCATGTGTAGACATCCAAAAGCCCTGAGACTGATACCCGGGTGCCGCCATCTTGGATATGATGTCAGTAGCCCCTGCAGACTCAGAACTGTCTCTCAAGTGACACTCTATAGCAGCCTTTCTCAACCTTTTTACATGGGACCAGGGGTGGACTGACCATTTGGAAACTCAGGCACTGCCTGAGGGCCCGGGGTCAGTAGGGGACCCCATGAGTTGTCCCTGGTACCTTTTCTATAGGCTTTTTTGAGTGGCTTTCCTGTTACATAGTAACACTTTCTTGTATAGACACCATTCACAGAATGCCTTGCATTTGTATCAATAAATGCAAGGTGTTCTCTGATTGGACAAGATGGAGATTATAACATCATCACCCTGCCTTTGCACCTCATCCGATTAGAGAATGCCTTGCATTCACTGAGAAAGATGCAAAACGTCTGTGGTGAATGGTGCCCCTGCTAAGCAAGCAACCCACCGTGGTTACTATGCAGCAGGGCAGCCGCTCAGCACAGAACCTAGAAGACAACAGTGATCACTGTAGTAGTAGTGACTACTACAGGGATTCTCTACTTCCACAGTGGCCTCACATGTATGGCATATGAACAGAGGCGGACTGACCATTTGAGCACTTGGGCACTGCCCGAGGGCCCGGGGTCAGTAGGGGCCCCCATGAGATGCCCCTGGTACCTTTCATTGTCTTTTTCATAGGCTTTTTTGGGTGTGAGCAAGGACACAGGGGCCCCATGATCCCTATTGCCGGGGGGCCCCATGAGTTGTCAGTCTGCCCCTGCATGGGACTCTTGAAATAATTCTCCGGTATCTGGGAACCCCTACTAATAATTAGTATATCTACAGTCCCCAGTACATTAGCCTGATGATCACTGGGAATAATACTCCCTAAGCAAGTGCAAAGGCACACTGAAAGTAATAAATGTATTTTTTAGAAAGGAAAACACTGCCAATAAAAATCTGAAATATGTATGTGAAATAGGATTTTTGTGCTTTTGCCTGTAGCCAAGTACCGGTTATGTCATTATGCAATTCGGGGACACTTTCAGATGGGATTAAAATTAACCCTTTTTGCCCCTAGTGCCTAGCACTGGAACAGCTACATCACTTCCTGTTAGCAGAGTGGATTCAATTCTCCTACAGCAGAGGATCTTGAGACCTGTAGTCCTACCAGAGAGATGGCAAACCTGAAGGCTTCTGGGATAGGAGATATATTCTTTTGCAAGGGGCGGACTTACTCTCTTGGCGCAGGGTTCAGAGCTGGACGCAGGGAGACTGCCGTTCTCCTCAAAAGAATGATTGTGGGCCTATGGCTGCAGGACTCTGAGCCACAATTCAGCATAGCTGTGACATTGATCGCCACATTGGGATCACAACAGTCTTTCTCTACATCGGGGCTGTCACTGTCCGGCACCTTTGGTCTACTTTGTTGAGCAAGTCAAATATAGAGATGTTACTAAAGAATTGAGTCTCTTGTATTATTATTCTCTACTATTGAAATATGTCTGAACATAGAGTGTCAGAGGTGTCGGGATACTTGCAAGATCAGGGCAACCACTGGGGACAAGCATCACTGAGCGGGCCCCTATGGGGGTTGCGCAACATACCTGTTTCAATGTAATGTTTTAGGTTGATGACGGTCTGGGAAGAAAAACATGTATCTAAATATATTCCTCAACAGCCAAAAAGGATGAAAATCCACCTTGTATACACCAATATACCTATACAAATGCAATTATTACTTTGTAAAAGTAGCAGTGACATCATAACTTTGCTGGACATGTGTAGCAAGTGTAGAGAGTAGAGGTGTGGGAGGGGCTCAACAGCTCCACCCACTACAGGCTGCTGTAGAAAACATCAGGAGAGGGCAAAGACAAGACCAGTTACTCTGTACAAGAAGAAAGAGTAGCAATGACCGGTCTTTATTAAGGGAGGATTCTGCATAGAGGTAAATTTCATGCTGGATTACTACACAGATCTGTAAGAAATACACAAAACACACCAAGATCCACAAGGAATACACATGCCTTTTGTATTTAGACCAGGGCTTGACAAATTTGCTTTGAATTTAGGAGCCAGCTAAAAAAGTTAAGCTGGCTTTTTTATGGGTGTGGCTAAACTTTACAGCGGGAGGGGCTTAAGGAGCATGGTTAAACAAAACCCAGGCTTGGGGTATGGCTATGGGGACAGATATATACTGAGGAGTGCTATGGGAGAGGAGATGACTTGTGCTACAAGGTGGGGCGGAGGAGGGGATCAGATAAGTGCTGGGGGGGTGCTTTGGGAGGGGAGAGAACTTGTGCTAGATGGGGGGTGTGGATATGTGCTTGTGGGCACTTTGGAAGGGAAGTAGACTTGTGCTGGGGGGTCAGATACATACTGTGGAGTTGCTTTGGGAGAAGACTGGATTTGTGCTGGGGAGGTGGGAGGGAATCAGAAACATACTGGGGATGCTTAGGGAAGGAAGCGGACTTGTGCTGGGGGGGATCAGATACATACTGGGGGGTTGCTTTGCAAGGGGAGAGGATTTATGCTAGAAGGTGTGGTGGGGGCGGATATGTGCTTGGGGGGGCACTTTTGGAAGGAATGGACTTGTGTTGGGGGGACCAGATACATACTGTGGAGTGCTTTGGGAGGGGTGCAGAATTGTTCTGGGGGGTCATATACATACTGGGGGGGCCCTTTGGGAGGAGAGTGGACTAGAAGGTGGGGTGGGGGATTTCAAATGCAATCCCTCCTCCAGCACAAGTTCTTTCCCCTCCCAAAGCACCCCTCCAGAACATATCTTCTTACACCCTTGTTTCCTGCCCCTCTCCACCCCCCTTCTCAGTTACTGTTCACCCCCCTGTGCAAGTAATCCACTACAGGCCTCCTATCAGCTCAGCACAAGGAGAAAGTTGTTCCTCCTCCCTGGCTCTTTTTCCTATCTGTGTACAGGAAGACATCAGAGCTAGGGAGGAAGATGAGGAGGCAGTGTCAGTCCAATCATATGCAGTGGGTTTCATGGGCATTGGTTGCCTCTGCCCTGCTACTTGTGCGGGGTGTATGTGATACCACAGACCGCGTTCAAGTCTCTATATTGCAGCTGACATCTTCCCGCCGGCTCCCTGTCACAGAGATGTCGGCTGCAATACAGAGACTGGAACGTGGTGTATAGCACCCCATACACACTTCACAAGCAGAGGCAACCAATGCCTATGCTGGCACACCTCCACTGGACAAGTCACTCCACTTCGTGACTCAGCCTTGATTCACCAGGGCACCGTGACTTACATCAAATCCTGTGATGGTTGGGAATTATGGGGGCTGACAAAAACCCAGGTACCAGGATGGAATTTCTAGTGCCTGGGATTTGTCAAGACCTGATTTAGACAATGTCTGTTTATCTCAGAGTTCAGATTTAATAATGGCTCTGGCTGCAAGGAATATAAAATGTAAGGATTGTATTTTTAGAGGGACTGTAGGGAGCACAAATGTGGGAACACTCCTTTGTAAAGGGACTATAACAGCAGTGATCCCTAGTACTGTTACATAATGTCCCCTGTCTCTCACAGTCATCTGTAGCCATACTAAATATTATGTGGATCTTTGTTGATGTTAAGGACTGTTCTTGAGGACATCTATTTCTATTAGGCTGCCTATCACTGACCTAGACAATATAAGCGTGGACATTTATGCACCTATAAAGGAAGAGAACAAATCCATTAATCGGATCTACTGTCACACTCACAGCTCAAGCCATTGTTGCTGTCCTGTTTTTTTTTTTTTTCTCACTGTGTGCTGAACTGTAAAGATATGAAATACTACTGTATAAACAGTATTTTCTTTTTGCCAATTTTTCTAAAATTGCACTGTGGACATAATTACATTTGCTTTCTCTTTTCATGCTATGAATACCGTATTGATTTTCCTGTATTTCATCTTTTATATGTTCTTTTGCCATCTTGTTCTCTGATATTAATATTGCTGGATCATAAAACAAGCTTGGTTCAGTGCTTACAGCAAATCCAGTAGTCTTAATTAGTTTTGACAGTGCGATCATGGGATAAGGCTATGTGAAAAGTGGGAAAGTAATAAAAAAGACAATAAAGAATTTTTCACACTGGAGGTACTGAACATGAAAAAGAGATTAGACATCCCACCAGCTGTTTTCAGAGATGTTCAACTTTTCCATCAGCTTTTACTTTATATGCCTTTTCGCAAAGGATTTTCTTCCACTGATTGGCCAAATTTAATCTGTGTTTTGGTGTCTTTATTGCAACTGTTTTTGCACAGCTCTCACGTGACACTTTGCTGCAGGTATGAGTACAGTAAATGTGGGTTACAGAGATGTATGGCTATATATTCAGTTATCATCTGTTAAAATGAAAAGCTAGCCTAGACATGCCTCCCTACTGAAGCCAATGAGGCTTCCTATCACATTAACAGACTAATAAGAAGTCGGGATGGAAAAAGGGGGATAAGGTCAACTTCCCTAAAGGTGTCCTGTGCTTAAAGCTGCACTGCAGGCAAGCAGCTAAATACACTAATGAAATGTATACATGGGGCTGTTTAACTTGGCAAACGATTTCTATTTCTGTTCATCCAGTTGTGAGATTTACACAGTTCTGCCACACAGTACAGCCCTGCCTGGCAGAGCAGAAGACCTGTGTAGCACCCTCTGGTGTTCATAGTTTGTTGAGAGTAGTTAGAGGCTTGCTAGAAGCCTGGGTTTAGTAACAGGTCAACAGGTTTACTTCAGGTCAAGCTGGAGGGCAATACAGATCAGTCCTCTGGTACCTCCTCTTGCTCTAGAAACTTGAAGAAGCTTCTAGAAGCCAGTAGGCGGAGGTGAGGAGGGGCTGATCTGCATATTTATGGGAGTCTTACCAATCTTACTGGCAGAGGAGCCTGTCAGTGTGGCAGATCAGGCCATAATTGACAACACCTGGCCAGCAGGGGAGTCTGGTGGAAGATGGAGTGCTGAGAGGTGCTGCTGTGTAGCCTGGGAGGAGGCCCTGGAGAAGGACGGTTCTGCCTCCAGGCTGGAGGCTGGAAGCTGAAGAAGAAAAGAGGGAGCTCCACGGCCCTGCAGTCCATGAGGAAGGACAGCCTGCATAAGCTTGGAGAAGAACCAGCCCAACTACAAAGGCCTGGAAGCAGTTCCATCCACAGCTGCAGGACAAGGACAGTGTGAGTACAGCTACACCCCCAGGGCCTAGAAGGGAGAGGTCTGCTGGATGCAAGTTCTTGGCAAGTCTTCAGAGGACAGTTCATAGCTTACCTAATCCCCTGTTCTGGGATCAGATACCATAACCAGTAGCTGGTATTTTGTTCACTTAGGGGACTAAGAGCTCCTACAAGTTGAGTCTTTGCTTAAAATCCACTCAAGGGGACTCAGAGTTTCTGCAAGCTGTTACTTTGCTAAAAAGACTGTCATGGCTCCAGCTAGAACACACCTTTCACATTCACACTGCCATTTTTTTTTTTGCACTATTTTCTAGAGAAGGAAATTGTCCTAAAATGTTATCCTGCAATCAGGTTGGACATCCCATAACCCCTTTACCCTATCCAAGTTTAATTCCCTAATAAAACTAAAAAAACAAGCCCATGGACTGTTTCTTGTGTCTGGATACAAGTGGAAAATGTGTGTTGCCTGACTGAGCAGGAAGTAAAGGGAGACCCAAAACCAGTGGCCCTCAATAGGGTAGCGCTATACCTGAGTTTTCCCTGCTGCAGTTCAGTAACACTTACCAGGTCTCCCTCTCCCCTTCCCCCCAGCCTATGACAGGAAAGTGAAAAGAGAATCAGCACACCGTATTTCCTCA